TTTCAACGCTTCTCCTGATGCCGCCTCAACCGCCATTTCAGTCAAGGCGGTAGTGGAATAGGCCAGCCCCCCACAATAAGTAGGGCTATAGGCCAAGCCGCCTTAACCTGCCATCAGGCCCTGGGGCTGATAGTTTTTGTAGGCCCCTTATTTAAACAACAAATCAAGTCATTTATATAGCATAGCTCGGCAGGCTCTGTGATATCGGCACTTCTCCACTCTGCTCTACGAGCGCCTGGTCCTCTCCTCCATATGAGTGACGTATCGGGCCTCCCTCATGTATTGTCCGCGGTTGCCGTTGGCTCCGCTCTCCTCCACGTAGCAAGTCCTCGTCGTCCTCCTCAATCTCCTCCAACAGATTAATGTCCCTCCTGTCTGTTTTTCCTTTCCCGCTACTCCATCGCTATCAGAACCAGACCGGCTACTTGTCTCCGGAGGCCCCGCGGGCGGCACCGCTACCGCTCGCGTACAGAACTCACTCTGTCCTTCCTCTTCATCCTGGCCTACAGGTTTAAAATAACCTTGTAAGGCTTCGGCATTTTTTGTAATAGCCTGCCTTGTCCTCGAAACTCCTTTTCCCTCACAAATTCCTTTTCCGAGCGCCACTCTCAAACTTTTTCTTCACTCAATCACTACCGATTTTGAGTAAGTCACATGTGGAACATATTCTCAATTCTGATTGGCTGTGTTAAGTGGTGCCACCTGACTGTTAGCGGGGTCTTCATTTTTGAGAAAAATCTCTGTAATACCATCGATCTGATTGATTAGCTGAGCAAATGATCAAAATAGTTATGGAGGGAAGATATTTTTCCGTTTGGATTACTTGGTCTGGGGGAAGCTCACGAGTGTGTGGTTTGTGTATACGTGTGTGTGTTTGTGTTTATTTGCGTTTGTGTGTATTGTGTTTGTTTTTCGGGGGAAACACACGAGAAACACCGGCTGGTTGTTATGCCTGCTGTGACCGTCAAGTTAGCTCGTTCTCCGCTTTTAATTATGCTTTACAAATTTTCAAGTTTGTATTTATCATCTGAATTTGCCGAAACAAGTTTAATATTCTGAAAGCCAAGACTTTTTTTTTTTTAAATCAGATGAAACAAACTTTAACGGACCCTGCTGTGTATCTATGATTACTATACGCTTACATTAAATAAATTTCAGCGGAGGGGAGGGAAGGCGGCGCTGTGGAAAATTTCTGAAAGCCCAAGACTTTGTTTATTTAAAATCTTTAAAAAAAACACCCGAGAAAAAAAAGAAAAATTTGAATTTCTTTTTTTTCTTTTTTTAATTGGCTCATGATAGGCCCCCGATCTCCGTAGGCCCCTGGGCTTCAGCCCAGGTCAGCCCGTGCATTAAGGCGGCCCTGGCTATAGGTCAAGGCTTTAAGGGCTTTCATACTTAAATGTATTTCACGAGCCTTAATTGGCTGTATTCTACCTCTGTTTTGGCAGTAACAGGTTTCCTGTTTAGTTTTTTTATTTTCAATATTCCAATGTGTGTGTTAAATATAGTGGAGCTTCATTTGAGGCCTCATTGAGGCCTTCATTTGAGGCCTGTATTTAGATTTGACCAGACTTTGTTTGGTAGCCTATGTTCTAGGCGTTGTTTGGCAAATCGCAAGGATCCTATTTTTGGCCTACGTTGCATTTAGAAGCAATCTTAAGCAATGTTTGGCTTACATGTTAATAGTGTTGGACTGAAAATGGCTGAGCCGTAAGCTATTCCTTGAGGCCTAATCCTTTTCGTATTTTTGATAAAGCTTCTTCTATATCCACTCAATACATTCAAACTTCTTGTGCATGGAACTTGAATAAAATAAAAGAAAGTATCACAAAGACAAATATATTGCACACCTTGTCATTTCATAATGTTATAGATTTCATTATAGTGAGCTCTAGCTCTATTGTATTTAATATATATAGGCCTAGACTTATAAATATTTACAGTATCTCTACTATAATTGACCAGACTTTGATCCTTTGTCTGCTTTAAGTAAGTTTATAAGTTGTTAGTAGCCTTAAGAGCCTACACAGTTGTTATTCCATACCACATTGCCCTTCACTGGATGTATAATGAGCTGCACTAAACTACATTTTAGCATTTAAAATACCTAGCAATTCTTTTGCGGTTATTTTGGTGAAAGTAACTCAAAAGTAGTGTAACTCATTACATTTCAGAGACTGTAATATTGTAATGTAACTTATTACTTTCAAAAGACAGTAATAAGTCATATGTAATATATTACATTTTGGAAGTAACTTGCCCAACACTGGTTGTAGAAGATCTTGATAGAGGAGCAACTTGATAGAAATCTTACTTTGACATGAATATTCCAAGAGAAGTTACATAACCCTAACCCTACATCACCCTACAACACTGAGAGCTGTAGGGAGAATGACAGAAGCAGAGATTATTTACAAGTTCTACAAGGATCAAATCCCATACAGGGTTTTTTCGAGAAATATATAGTATGAGGGTGCTCCTCTTATAAAATACATATATTCTCGAGAAAACATGAGGCCCGTAGCCATACAAAATGACGCCGCAGACGTAAACAACAACTCAACGTCGGAGCTCCGTGAAAACAAAGTTGTCTATGCCGTCTGACGGACTATTTGACACGATTTCATATTTTTTGAGTAATTGTACCGTTTTTGATGAACAGGAATATTGTTTACTTGCATAACTTCTGGCCAGGGCCGGTTTTTGGCATAGGGCGGTCGGCTAGGACGCCAGATCAGAGGGGGGGCTGCGCACTGCGCTGGTATTTCTGGGAGGGAAAAAAACATTTTTGACTGTTTGGTTCATCCTAATTTTTTTTTTATGTAACAACATTCATAATTAAGTCAAGGTAACACCCTTTTCATCCCGGTTACAATTTTCATTTGCCCTGTACGATGGGCGCTGTAAGTGATGAAAGTGGGGGATGTTGGCTTATCAGGCACCCGCCGCTCACAGCCAAAGTGCGAGCGAGCCTCCGAGCGAGCAAGAGAGAGAGAGAGAGGGCGTGCATCGGTAGCGCGGATCGTTGTTGGATTGAGGCTGATAACTACAGCTCAGTGAGGTAAAGGACTCGGAGTGTTTAGATAGTTCACTTTAGTTATCTCAGTGGGTCTCAAACGGTTTGGTCACAATTTATGTAAACAAATATTTCCAAGGCACACTTTTATAATTATTAGGATAAATAAAAACAGGTTTGAAATCATTCTAATGTATACTATAGGACAGTAAACCAAAAATATTGTTTAAAACTGGAGATATTAAAAAATATGCATGAATAAATAAATGTTAACTATGTAAATTTGTTATTGGCTATGGTAGGTTATTGGTTATGTTCACATACTTATTTGATTATTAAAATGTAAACCGATCTTTTTCATATGGGTGTTTAAAGTTGTACCCCCTAGATCTAGTCTCCAGTAATTCTGCTCAAAGTGCACCAGATTGAAGCATTTTAGTTTAAAATGTTAAAACAAATCTTCCCGGGGAGGCATACCCCCGNTTTATTCTTATCCTTGAAATAAAGGTATTATAAGTATTATCTGCATTTGGGTCCTGCTTGCTTCACTCTACCGTAACAAGGAGAGTGAACAGGCATGTTAGCGGCAGACAGGGAGAGACAAATAATGACACATGGCGCTCTCCAAGAAGAGGAAAGTGGACAGTGAGAACAGAGCTTTTAACCCTGAGTGGACTCATTCATGTTCATCCTGCCCACTGGGAGCACAGAACCAGTGTGTCTCATTCAGAGACCGTGGCGCTCATTAAAAGTGCCAAAACGCCACTATGAGACAAAACACAAAGTGTTTGACCAAACATTCCCTCTCAAGTCAGAACTGAGGTCACAAAAACTAAATATCGTTCCAGGACAGGCTAACCGAGGCTAACCAATGAGCACCTGCATGTGTGTATGAGAATGGCCCTGACACCATTTCAGCCCAGATCTAAACTCCTGGCAGGACAAGCTCCAGCTCAATTCTCGCACTGAACAGAACAAAGTGAGTGAGGGACTGCAATATAAGAGGGAAAGAAAGAGAAACTTTAAAACTGTTCAATTGTTATGATGTGTAAAGACTGATATTGTTCTATAATCGGCTGAAATCTAAAATTAAGCACTTTTAAGATGCACATATTTTCAAAAGCAATTTTATTTTTAAATGCAGCCCAAGAGGAACATTACACATATCCACAGTATTTACTGTATATCTGTATAGTTCAATGTTAATTGACAATAAATATTGTTGTTTATGAATTGTACTTTCTTTATTTGATTGGCAGTCAGTTGTTGATTACTTGCAGACGTTGATAAAGCTACAGGCTACTTCAATATATATCACACTAATTCATAAAGCAAGTTAGACATTTTGATGTTCCGGACCTTTACATGGGGAGATTTTCTCTAACTGGACCTCGTTGAATTTTAGTTGATTACCCCTATAATAGGGCATCACATCAGGTTAGCTGGTGCCTCTGGTGGACAAAATGAGACATGACATGTGGAGCACTTCATCAGGTGGAACTGTATTCAATTCTCTCACTCTCAGCTGGGCACAAACAGTGAAACAAAGTGTTCTCTCATGACAGACATTCTGCCAGCTAAAACACTTGATATTTACTTTTACATTCTCATGAGTAACACACTCCTTATACTGCAAATACACTTCATATTTAACAACACAGGGTCACATACTGTAAAAAAGATTGCATTTGACACCGTCCTACAGTAGTGATAAATGTTACACTGAAGGAAAAATGTGTTGGAATGTAGGGTTTATTTGTCATTCACACACACACACACACACACACACACACACACACACACACACACACACACACACACACACACACACACACACAAGTTGGTGTTATATAAATAAAAGTAGTCATACATGGTGTCATTGGCGTTTTAGTGTCCCAAAACACTTTAAACTTGTCAATTTTAGTATAGGAAATACATATTTGTATGAATATATAACAAAAATATTGGTAGATTTGGTGTGCTGTTAGCCTAAAAATACCCAAAACATAAAAAACAAAGAATTACATCCACATTCAGTCACACAGTGGCAGAATAAAGGGGCAACATTTAGCTTTTAGTGTCTTGCGATATTTAAACTAATGTACACACATACAGCGCTCTCTCACTGTCTCTCGGTCATACACACACTGGATGTCATCTGAAGGTGTGTCTCCTTATTTGAGTGCCTGCCAGATGATGATGATGAAGATGATGAGCACCAGCGACAGCACCATGGTCAGAATGCACATCCTCTTACGGGACTTCCTCTGCACACAACAAGGGGCCATGTTAGTGTCATCAGATTCAGAACAAGTGACAGCGTATGGAGACAGGACATCATAGTAAATGTATTCATTCTAGTAAACAGCATGAATCAATAACTCTAGATGATTCTCCTGATCTTACTGTCAACTTATCACATGATCCAAACCAAAACTGTGTTACTCATTCTCTTAATACTTCCTGTGTCAGTGCTGTAAGCTCACTGCATATGGAACTAGACCTCTAAAGAATAGATAATAAAACAAAGAAACCTGAGAACTAAGGCAAACATTGTGAAAGGAAATGGCATTCCATCAAGCTGAAAGAACCTTGTT